TCGGCCAACAATTTCATGTGGTCTGAGACTCTCCGTGTATTATATAGCTAGGCCAGTAAAATAAGAAAAGTCTCAGACCACATGTAATTGTTGGCCGAGGCGAAGCCGAGGTTGACAAACATGTGGTCTGAGGCTTTACTTTTTACTGGCCAAGTTGTGTATACTATTTTTCTGCTCGACGTAGCTGGAATGTGGCAACAATTACATATGATCTGAGACTTTTCTTATTTTACTGGCCTAGGTATGTAATATACTATTTAATTGTACCTGCATTAATTTTAATTTAGTGTATGAGATTTTATATTTATACGATTTGAATATAATAAAGTACAAATATAAAAAAAATTGTTTTTTTTTTTTTAATTATTAGATTTGATATTTATTTAAAAATTTATAAGCTTATATATTTTTGTTTTAAAATTTATCTAATGAAAAAAAATCAATGATAATGATTGTCAATAAATTTCTCTTAGCGACAAGACTTTGTACAGAAACTTGCAGCGCGGGAGGCCAGGGTTCAAATCCCGGAGCAGGTAAATGAATGACTGACATTAATTTTTCCAAAATTTATCATTTAAAATTTATTTTTAAATATTTGATACTCGTTTTATCTTCAAATAAATCGAATTTTTTTTTTTTTGATTAATTTTAGATACCTTTTATATTTTTTTTATTGTTAATTTTTGACAAAAAATTTTTTTTTAATCATAAAAAAATTTTTAAAGTATGAATGTGGAATTTTCAAAAAACTTGGAATTTAAAATAAAAGTAACAAAAAATTACCATGGATAAAAAGTTTTTGAGAGTATGTATCATTTTTATTTTGTCTGGGTCACGTCTTGTACAAGATTATAAAGTTTGAGCCAGAAGAATAGATATAAACATAAATAAAAATAAAAATAAAAAGCAAGGGATGAAAAAGTGAGACAATTCCGGAGATAGAGCCAATTCGCGGGCAATTCTCCTTAGCCCTCGGCGACCCGGGAGTCCGGACATCTCGCCGAGGGTCTGGTCTTGGGATTCAAGTTCTCGACCGAGTTATAGACGCGATAAACAGGCGGAAAAGGGAAAAGCACATATGGGGCCACCAAGTCGTGCAGTCACAGTTCACGGATCACGTCATATTGCGAATATCGAGACACTATAGAGATTGAGAATTAATATTCCAAATATTCCAGACAGCTTTGACACCTATCAAGCCTTTCAAAATTTCGACATCTGATTTTTAATTTTAATGTTTTAGAAATAAAATAAAATAAAATAACAAAATTATATAAATCGAACACGTGTGCCGATGAATAGACAGGGTGGCCTGTCCAGTGGGACAAATGAAACTAAATAATGAAAAGTAAAAAATATAACAACATCCCCTGCACTGTATCGCATTGAGATCGCAGAGTAGCGTATGATCGCTTATTTGATACGTTCTAGCTTGGACGAGACGAGCAGACCGATGCCCTCGGACAATAGTACCGCAGATTACGTTTTTTAAATTTTAAATCATAAAGCCCAGGGGGTCACAACTGTCCACTGACAATCGCTTTTGTTCGAGAGGTTGCTGTACAAGTGGGTGGAGAATAAAAGTTTATGTTGAACAGAAGTAGTTTATTTATTTATTTATTTTTCGGATCTGATTTGAAGAGTATCATTTTTTTTTTATTCTTGATGCTAAAGTGTTTAAAGTTCTAGGTCATAATAATAATATCGAGAATTATTTGTAATAAGAAAGAAAATTTTAAAAATTTTTTTATTAAATAAAATTTTTAATATTGAAAAACTTTAGGAAATTTTTTTAATGTTATTTTAATAAATTTTTAGTAATTTTGGAAAAAAAAATTAATTTATATTTACTAAAATTTATATTATCTATATTATTAAGAGAATAAGAAAAATTTTGGATGTTCATATGATAAAATCGGTTTTTTTTAGTGAAATTTAGTGTATTGCAAAGGTCTTGATTTTAATTTTTGCCTTTTCAAGGTTTCATATCATTCTCACCAATAGTCAATTTATTATGATAAATGTTTAGGCTGCTATATCTCTAGATACATAATTAAGAAATTACCTTGTATCTTGTGAACTATTGACATTTTTAAAGATATAAGCTCATCCCAATGTTACACTCATCAAGACCTTTCATTTGAGTACCCACATCAATTTTTCATATATTTATATATATTATATAAATGTATATATATGAAAAATATATCAAAAATGCATGTAGGTACTCAAATGAAAGCTCTTGATGAGTGTAAAATTGGGATGAGCTTATATCTTTAAAATTGTCAATATTTAAGAAAGTACAGTGCAATTTAACAAAAGTCATTATTTAATAAAGTAAAATTTTATTTATAATTCACAAGTCACGGCAGTTACATAAGTAACTAATTAACATGAACGACCCCAAATTTTTTTATTTTTAATTAAAAAACCAACTTAACAATCAATCAATTTTTTCCGTAAAATTTCTAACAAAATTCTAATTTAATAAATCAAATTTATGAGCAGAGTAATTTTTATTAATTACACTTTTTTTTTTTTATTAAAAATAATTCTAGACTATATTTTTTTATAACTCAATAAAATTTTTCTAGCATTTAAAAATTGACTGAACATTTAATGTTGAAAATTCAAATAAAAAATTCAAAACAATAGAGACGACAGTATGGGTGGGATTCAGCTATTCATACCGTATAGATTGTACCTCGTGTGCTCGCACGAGACAAGATAGGGAGCGGAACTGGATTTAACCCTTTCAGGTGAGACAGTAAGCAAAGCTAAAACATCTGATGATCTCTCATCTTCTCATTGAACTCGTCCACGCGCGCAACCTCGACCCTTTACAAATTAAAGCTCAACACCGGACTTTTTGTGATACTTTTTTGCCCAGAAAATCCGCGCGGTCCCCCGAGCCCAATTAGAGTCGTCCTATTGTCAAGCCACGTGGTGATCACGAGCCACTCAGTGTCTTTTGCAATTCTCTTTTTTGTCTCTCAAAAATTTTATATTTTTTTTTAAACAAAATTAAATAAAAAACTCACCGGAATTAATAGTATTGGTGTCGGCATCGACGGACTCGGTCTTGACTTTCTTGGTGAGTTCCTCCTTGTCCTCATCGTTCTCGGTCCTTCTTTTGGGGGTTGAGCTCGCGCTGGCTCTCAGCTCGATGGGGCTGCCACTGTCGGTCGCGCTGACCTGGGGCGTAGGAGGGCTCTCGACTCTCCCGATCCTCTTGTTTATCGGCGCAGATATGCTCGGCACCGAGTTAAGCTTCTCGGGGTCCGCGGATTTCAACGCCAGAGCGTCCTCAGGGTCGGAGTCCTCGTGGGCCGTCGTCGGGGGAGGACTATGACAGCCCTGGAGGGTGCGACAATGGTTTACCTTGTGCTCGATGAAGCGGACGATCTCGCTCAGAGGGTACGAAATCCGACAGCCTCCACAGTGGACTGTGTCCGGCGGAATCGAACCTTGTGATGGTTCCGCTGTAACAATAAAGTAATTTTATTTATTATTATTATTGTGAGAAAAATATTGAAGATGCGGAAAAATTATAGACCTTTTTTGTAGAAAGTTAAATTTAAAAAAAAAAAGTCATAGTATATTTTTTAATATTTTTGATATTTTAGACAGAATATTGATTTAAATACAAAATTTGAGAATTCTATTGCTATTAATGTTATTATAATTATTTTGAGCTAAATATCGAAGAAATGACCTTGTATTTCATGAACTATTGACATTTTTAAAAATATAAGCTCATCCCGATGTTACACTCGTCAAGACCTTTCATTTGAGTACCCACATCAATTTTTCATATATTTTATATATTTATATATATATATATATATATGTATATATGAAAAATATATCAAAAATGCATGTAAGTACTCAAATGAAAGCTCTTGATGAGTGTAACATCAGGATGAGCTTATATCGTTAAAAACATCAATAGTTAAGAAAGTACAGTGCGATTTAATAAAATTCATTATTTTATAAAGCAAAATTTCATTTATTTATAGTTCACACATCACGGCAGTCACGTATTGACTGCAAGGTTGCTAGTTTGCAATTATTATTGTTATGAAAAGTAAATAAAATTAATTAGGTATACATAACAATGTCACTTTGATGAACAAAAATTTATAAATCTATCAATTAAAAGAAAAATATTTTTTACAACAAAAATCACAAAAAAATAGCGATAGAGCGAATTATTAATGGCGTAATAAAAATACGGGGCCAAGTGTAATCGAGATTTCTCGAGTCAACGAGTGATATTATATTATCTGAGTCTATCTCTGTGAGTAGATATATATAATAATTCAGCGTGACTACTTCGGCCGCAGAAAGAGGTCCGAGGTCACTCGCAGACGCAACAATTCACTTTTAGGGCCCTCAGACTTGATACCGTGTACTTCTTATATATTATATTCGATGGTATTATTCCCAACAAGGGAGAAGTATTAACATAGAGATTGGCATTAGTGGGTATCGATTTTTCACTTGAATTATTTTTCCCGACTATTAGATTCCCTTTTTTCAACCCCCAATATGCTCATAAGTAATAATTTATGTAAATATAACAATTAAACTTGCACTTTTTATATTTAAATTCAATTTTATATTTAAAAGAAAATGAATCGGTTAATTCTCGAATAATAAATTCAAAAGTTGTACATAGTTACAATATTAATACAGAGAAATAAATTTGAATTTACTACGACCAGAAATTGGAGATTACAATGACGGAGCATAAGAATTACAATAATAATAAATGATAATAAATAATAAATAATAAAAGTATGTAAATAAAAGTATTTTAAATTCTTTTATCTCGTTTAGTCCTTGTACTCTGCATATTTTAAACTAAATATATACAGACATATTTTAAAAAGTCCATATCTGACTACCAGTCACTTGAGATAAGTGATAATAGATTTTCTGGGGCGGAGTCACACATACGGAAGACTTTAAAGTCCATTGCGCAAGCCAGCAGGTCCAAGGATTCTGATTGAGAGTGCAGGCCACTCCTCGTATAACATATTTAATGTATGTTGAGTTTTATACAAAAAAAAAAAAATTGAACAGAAAATTTTATTGCTTCAATAATATTTTTTCTTGGTTTTTAAATTATCGCATCGAAATCTGTTTATGCTTGCTTCAAAAGTATGTTTTTAACTCAATATAATCTAATTCTCAAACCAACAAACATATTTTATTGGGATAAATCAAAATTAAAACACCAGAAGGCGCGTGAGAAAACAACAGCCGTATTACTGATGACACTTGTCATTTTTTTTCGGTTAGTTGTAAGTTTTAATTCTTTACATCAGAAGACCGTCTTCAAGGTTAGTTATTATTGTAATGCATAAATAAATACTATTTTTATTAGAACAAAATCCAATATAATTAATAAATACAGGGTGTAGAGATTTATCCAACTAACGTATGCAATTAAAGATTTTTATTTACTAGATAATCTTAAAGTGTCTGTCGTTGATTATTTAGTTATTAAATATTAAAGATATTAAACAATAACTAGTTTCTTATAATTCGAACAATTGTTTATTAAATAAAATCATCCTGACATCATCACAGATTAATTATTTTTATATAAGAAAAATAATCTAGTGGATAATTGTAACTACATGCAAGCTCTAATATTTGTAAACTAAAATTTTAACAAATTAAAAAATGGATTTTATTTTATAATCGGGATTTTATATGAGTATTGTAGAAATTTATTGGTTAATAATTTTTAAATTTATAGATATATTTTAGAAGCTAATTAAATAATAACCTGATTGAAAAATATTTGGTCTTTTTTAAATAAGTCGGTATTGGCTTTATTTTATTAAAAGATGTGAATGTTTTGAAAAAACAAATGTGATATTTTAGACATATAATAGTGATTACTGCAATGTACTCATTATTTTGATACTTTCACGCGTCAAACAACCACCCACTCGCCTAACCCCTCAGACGAGAGACTGAGGCGAGGAAAAAATGAATATAAATATGAGTATGAATACTAAACACATCCGACCCGGTTTGATTCGAAAAAAAATTAAAAACGCGAATGAATAAAAGTAAAAAACAGTATTATACATCATAGTACAGTAGTTTAATATTGTACGGGATGACTTGAATGGTGGACCATGCCACGAAGAGTCCGTTATTCGCCTACGATTCAAAAGCGCTCGGTTAGAAATGAGAGACGCGCGACCAGACCGGTCGTTAACGACAATGGGCTTTTGTTTTTTCGGGGGCAGATGTTAGTCTCAACACACTGAGATTCTGTGCACCTATAAGAGAGATGTTGTAATATTTCTGTGTGTAAATGGGGAGCGTGCAGACGAACACGCGATACGCAGTAGTACGGTTTTAACCCTTTTTCTTAACCCTATTTATAATCAAGAGACACATCCTATCCTTTTGCTTTTTTGCAGACTTAAACTTTTTTAAATATTTTTACTTGTGTATATATTTTTACTTGACAAATTTTTTTTTTATACAAAAGTTAAAATTAAAAAAAAAAATTTTTTTCTTTTTTAATTAATGTTATTATTTTGATAGAAGGATTTGTTTATATTTAATAAGCTTTATTAACTGTTAATAAATATTTGTTAATTATTAACAAATGCTTAATTAACTATTAATAAATGTACTTTCCTCCCAAATAAATATTTATTGAATGTTAAAAATTATTTATTAAAATTCAATAAAATAAATAATTGTCTTTAAATAAATTAAATTATTAATATTTAATAAATCCTTCTATCTATTTTTATAGGAAATTAAATTCTTTATATTTTTGATATTTTATACAGAATATTTAAACAAAATATAAAAAGTAGAAATTTACAGAACATCAAATTTCACTGCTTAAAAAAAATTTACAAAATTTTTCTTTTTTCAAAGATGTAGAGTGGATAAATGTCACATGTATAAAAATAATAAAGAGCAAAAATGCAGATAAAAATCATGAGTAGAAAACTTGAAGATTGTAGTTAAGCGACGGGAAAAATAAGAAACGGGTAAACAGTTACGGACAACGGAATTTTATTGTGTTGAAAGAGAGTGTGGTAAAAGATGGAGATGAAGATGAGAGGAAGAATAGCTGGCGGAAGTGCCCGGGAAGAACAAAACCGAGAATAGTAAGTAAATACTGAAAACTAACTATAAGATCTGGGGAAGAATAAAATCTTATGGGTTGAGCAGTGGCACATACACACACAGACTATCATATAGTACTTATATTACACACAAAAATATGGGGATGGAGTATAATGGACAATATTGCTCGGGTATAACTTGGATTGCTTATAAATTGCTCCATACATTTATAATACTGATACCGACATAATATATTTTTATACTCGTTGATTTTTGGGCAAGACGTTGGAAAATTTAGCTCTGTGTCGAGGAACAGTAATAGTAATAGTAACGAATTGAGTGGCTGAGAAAATAGTGGATAGAATTGTGAGTTGCGAGGAGGAAATTCGATGTTAGACGTTATTATGTCTCTTGCTCGGGATCTGGAATGTCCCGAGGCAGCCGCTTGTTAGAACGTTCGTCCTGTCAAAACGTCCAGAGGACACATTGATGCAATCGAATTACGATCATCCCCGGGGCCGTCCCGCTCAAACCAATAATTTCATTATCCATTAGTATTGGGTCGCACCAATTTCCTCCAGGTCTCTCCCCGCGCCCTCCCGATGTATATCTTTGCTAGTCTCTACATCTAGAGATATATAGACAGATATATAGATGAACAAGCCACCCGACGTCATGTCATGAGTTCACGTACTTCACTACCCCCATTGTTACGTTCAGTTATAAATCCAGAGACCAGACCGATACAAAAAACCGATTGATTAATTCAAATTCAATTATTATATGACGATATATAAATTTCATCGAATTACTTTTTTAAATGACAACTCGATATTTAATTATTTGACTTCTGGATTTAATGGAGAGCCAAGGGTTCGAATAAAAAATTTTTTTTAGCCTGGGATTTAACTATTGAAATTTAAAGTCCAATTAATTGAGATTTTGGAGTATAAAAATTTTTTTAATTTATTCTTGATATGAATTATTGAAAAAATTAATTAATTCTTTAATATAGAGTTCAATTTTTTTGTTAAATAATTTTTGTTGGACTAAAAAAAATTTATGAATTAATTTTTGATAAAAATTAATTAAATCTTTACTTAAAGATTGTGTTATAAATTAAATACATTTTGTACCATAAAAAAATTTATTTCTTTAATTAAAAAAAATCAATAAAATTAAAAATTTTTTATCTGAGACGTAAAATTAATGTCTAAAGTTCGAATCCTGATCAAAGTAATTTTTTTTACGATAAATTTGAATGAAATTGAATACAATTAATTTAATTTTATAAAATAAAATTAGTATTAATAAAAAAATATTGACAAAAAATTTAATAAATAAAAATACGAACCAAAGTATCGATTAATTTTGTACGCCATAAAGGATTTAAAGAATAAACCACAAATCTGAGAACAATAAACCACAAAATTACCGAACTAACTCCTTAATTTAATTAAAAACAATCACATTTTGCGTTAAAAGTAAGTTCCTGCACAACCAACGGCCTCGGCAAACAAAATGAAGCTTCTGTAACCGAAATTTGATAATTACAAAACACACATGAGTGTAGATCGGTCCATGCTTGGATGCTGACTGGGTTAGACGGCGAGGAGGGGGCCGGGCCCCAGTTACATCAAAAGAATTTAAAATAAGGACCCTAGCGCGCGCACACTGCCCTCCGTCAGAATCACTTCTTGCAAGGAGGGGTGGGGGCCTTATTTCCACTCACACACTCGCACATGTCCATCTATGAGCAGCAGAGTTTAGAGTTGAGACGGAGAAAGAACGGCTTTCTATGATTTTTTGTCGTCAACCCTTACCAGTGTCTCCTTCGGGCCTTTCACCCAGAGCTGCTTTTTCTTCCCCTTTTTACAGATCCGTTTTTTAGAGAGCACCCTCGTGCAGGGGCATGACGCGCGATATCCGCGCCCCAACAAAGAAATCGCCGTTTTTCCTTTCCCATACTCTCCCCACTCTCTCGCGGATCCTGTCCTGGTATAAGAGTAAAAAACTCTGGTACGTTGCAAGGATCAAATGCGAATCGTTTTTTTTATTTATATACTGCTTATTCCGGACCTTGTCATACCTTTTACCTTATACCTGTATCCTGGGAGTTTTTTAATCCCCCTGTTTTTTTCGGTAACGTGCCCTCGATTTTTTTGCTAGTAGTTTTGATAGTAAAAATTATTTTTATTTGCAATGGGTCATTTTAATAAAAGTTATATTTTATATGAATTATTTGTTGTTTTTTTAGAATTAAGCTAAAGAAAATTTTCGTTAAAAAATGTTAATAATTATTTATTTTCAACTAGCAACCTTGCAGTCACTATGTGACTACAAATAAATAACATTTTGCTTTATTAAATAATGAATTTTGTTAAATTGCACTGTACTTTCTTAAATATTGACGTTTTTACAGATATAAGCTCATCCCGATGTTACACTCATCAAGACCTTTCATTTGAGTACCCACATCAATTTTCATATATTTTTCATATATACATATATGTAATGTATATAAATTTATGAAAAATATATGTGGGTACTCAAATGAAAGGTCTTGGTGAGTGTAACATCGGGATGATCTTATATCTTTAAAAATGTCAATAGTTCACAAGATACAAGGTCATTTCTTAATTATGTATCCAGAGATAGAGCATTTCCGAATGCAGCCTTCCGAATACTTATCATAATAAATTGACTATTGGTGAGAATGATATGAAACCTTGAAAAGACATA